TGCCGCCCGCACACCTCCGCATTCGCCTGCGTCTAGGTGCGGAAGCCTGGGGGCGCCTTCGCTAGGTGAGACCTAGCGAAGGTGCTGCGCGGAGCTGGCGCTGGAGTTCGGCAGGGAGCCCCCACGCTTTCAAACGGCTCCCTAGCATCAACTTAAGGCGGGCCCCCCCACCCCACCCCCATCCCAATCACGGCTGCAGAGAAACTGGAGAAGCTTAGGATCAGGCAGGGGCACGCACTTCTTTTCCCTTCTCCCTTCCCTCCGCCCACCCCCTCGCTCCCAACCCTCGGGCACCGTCCGGAGTTAAAAAAAAAAAAAAAAAAGTGGTTTATTGTGGAGCACACGCCATCAGGATGCGTTCCCACTCCATCCTCCCAGCTCACGCCACCTTGCCGGGAAATAATAGCTTCGCCACACTGGCTTCGCCCGGCTCCTTTCCGGATGACTGCTTCCCTTTGCTTTTCTCTCCTATCGGGGACCATCTGAAACTATCCCCGAGGACAGTTCCCAGGGGAACCCCTTCTCCCAGATTCCCCTTGGGGACTAAGGGGCGACTCACTTTAGCCCTCCATAAAGCGAACCACAACTAGAGGAGATAACCCAAAGTGGGTAAAGAATCGGGGTGGGCGGGCAGGACGGAGGCTGGAGGCCTCGCCCCTCCGGCGGGCGCGCGGACAGCCGCAGCGGGTGCCCACTGCCGGCCACGTGGGGAGGCCCAGCAGTCGGTGTGCCCCACCCCAGGCCTTGGGGAGCCAAACAGCCGGGGACAATGAACCCTGAAGGACGTGGAAAGCTGGAGGGGCTTGACAACCCTCCGCTTTCATCCCTCGCCCCCTTTTTGGACATTCCTGAAGTTTAATCATTAAAGAGGATTCCTTTTCTTTTCTTTCTTTCTTTTTTTTTTTTTGAGGAGGCAGCAGCTTACCGTTGCCATTCCTGACAATCTGCCCCACACACTGTCAGCGATCTGAAAGATCTGGACCGAGCTTTGTTGCTTCGCTGCCAATAGCAGACTTGGGGAAACCAAGCCTCCGATTTCTGGCCACATCAAAGCAGTGATTATGCAAATACCCATTTTTTTTTTTTTAAAAAGGATAAAATAGAGGGGGAATTATTTATCACACAATGAACCCCCTGCCAGGGCGGGAAACAATAGATCAGACCAGATAGCACTTCTAGCCTCGGGCAGGGGGAGCGGGAAGGGGGTGTCGGAGCCCTCACGTTTTATTGGTCTAACCTAATTTCACTAATTCTCTTTTCACACGTTTTCTTTTGCGGATTCGGAGGCCGGGACTTTCACGCTCCCGGGAGCGCCCTGCACAGGCGCGATTCAAGGCTGCCTGCTTTATTTAATTAATACATTCAAAGCTGGCCCGGGAGCCCGGGAGCCTGGCTGGGGGGCGAGGGTCGCCCGGGCGCGAGGAGGAGGCGCTTTTAACGGGGTCCAGGTGTTGCCTCCCCGAAGTCACAACCTGCCGGAGGCTGTGCGTGGCAGGGGGTGCGAGCCGCGGGCGTGTGGGGCTCGCAGCCTCTCCCGCGGGCCCCAGTGACCCGGACAGGCGGGTGCACGAGGCCTAAACTGGGCCTAGACGTCCGTCGCTGGAAATCTGGCTAAACCCTAGAAAGGGTCGCCGCTCCGGGCGGTTCCTTGGGGCCTGACTGAGGCGCGCGTTCAGGTGTCTGCAGCCCTCCCGGCCAGCGCCGGGGCCTTTGCCGCTTTTTTCTTTCCCCCTTGGCCCTCAAATGAGCTTATTTTAAATCGGGTGAAGGAAACGTCAGCCTTAACGAAGGCTGGACCCTTCAGAGCAAACAAATACAGCCCACCGCGGTGCTGGAGGCGATGGAAGCCGCGTTGCCGAGGAGGTCAGGACCAACCTCCGCACCTCTCCGCCTGGGCTCTGGAAAGGTCCAGCCGCTGCGGCAATGTGGGAAGGACCTGGGAAGAACATCTCCGCGCGGGGCACTCGAGCGGCGCTCAGCACAGACCAGAAGCAGCGGACTGAATGAAGAGCCCAGAGCCCGCTCATCCCGGTGCGGTCATAAATTGGGGACAGGGATAAAGAATCGCAGCGAACTTTCTCTGCACAGAACCAAGGACTTCATTCGGCCGGCGCCGGGCCCTCCGCCCACTGGCTGTGGATTGGGAGGAAGAATTCCCAGCGCAAAGTGAGGCAGAAAGAACATTTTTAACCGCTAGAGGTGATTCGACGCCATGAGGAAGGATCCCACCAGTTTAGTGTCCAGTGAGGTCCTCTCTTGATGGAGAGGGGTTTGGACCTGATCTCAGGCGGTAGGTGTTACGTCTGCCTGTGTGGCATGGTGTTCATGCAACTGAGACCTTGCTTGTGCTGAACAAGTCTCTGGGCCTGACACCCGCGGAGAGACTGTTCCCCCTCAGTCAGGCTTGGGTTAAGTCTGGCTGTGTTGCATTGCACCACGCTATGACTTTCAGACCATCTTCTACCTATGTGAGCCTCGCCAGATGAGCCATTGAGGTTACCTGTTTGTGGACCACCTCACCCTTTCCGGATCACCCCTCCTAACATCTTGGAAGAGTCTGCACCTGAGAGACTGCTTGCAGGTGCCTGTTCCAGGAATTTTGTCTCTTGGCAAGTTAAACAAACAAACAAAAAGCAGCCATCCTAAATACTGTTGGGGAAACAGTATTCATTATCAAACTTCTGATGTTGTAAAACTTTGACACTGCAGTTACGTACGGGAGAAATGCCATTTTCTTATATCAGATTGTCGAGAGTGGCTAAGGAGAACACAACCTTTAAATGAGAATGTTTTTCCAACAGCTTTCTTTTTTTGAGCTATGAAAAAACAGGCCTTCCTCGAGGCCTAGGGACAAGTCTCAGAGTTATCACTTGGACTGCCTGAATTCCATCCCCGGCTAGGGAGTTGACTCCCACTGCAAAGCAGACCTCTCCTGTCTCACGGGCTGCTCCTCTCAGCAGTGGATTTCAGTAGATCCACCTGTCCTGCTCCCCAGTTTCTGACGAATCCTCTCCCCCCTTTCTGCCCTGTACCCCAGTTCTTGAATGCAAAAAGCAAGCAAACTAAAACCTCAGGTTAGTTCCTCCTTGAATCAATAGGTATTAAGATATTAACACACTACTTTCCATATGTTTGGAGAGGAGGAGGAATTGTGGAGACACATCTCAGGAGAAATAATAATTGCTTTATGCAGAGGAGTGGAGGAATTAGCCCAAACCAAAAGCATCAAATAAGCAATGCATGGAGGAGTCTATGAACAAGCAATGTTGGTTTTTAGCTTCTGTTAGACTGGATTGTCTTCTCCAAGAATATTAAACCTACATGTGCTAGGCCTTCAACGGGCCTCTCTGACACTAGCCAAAGGTCGTTCATTTCTGCTTTGGAGTTGTGGAGTTACATGCTTTGTGATTTAGGACACCATTTTTGCTTTTTCTTTGAAGAAGTCTCAACTGTGCGATTATTTTAACCAGGACTGAAGAACTGAACTTTCTTTCAGACACTACCTTATTCTTGTTCACTCTGGAGCTTTTTTCTCTGGGAGCTTGCTCTCCCAACCAACTAGTTTGTTAAAATGGACAACGTGAAATGTGCTTCCAGTATGAGTTGATAAATATTCAGATCACAGATGTCAGAGCCGGAAGGGGTCTGCAGAAACAGCATCCAACCTCTTCCGTTCATAGATGACAATTGAAGCTCAGAGAAGCAAAGGGCAATAACCCAGCCGCACACATGCCTTCAAGCTATTTCAGCCGTAATAGTCATTACAAATCAAGGTTCCTGAATTTCAGAGCTGATCATGACTTCATAATTACGTAAAGCCCATCCTTTTTTGTCCTTTCTGAGATTTTCTGAGAAATCGCAGAAAGTGATTTCTTAAAGACCAAGTTGTATTGAACACTTGTATTGAGAATGACATTCACATCAGTATTAGTGTCTCAAGTACGAACCAGATGCTTTTCAGCTTGCAGACCTTGTCGGTCAGCACCACTCTCCAAATGAACATTGACAAAAAATACAAGTACTCTTCTCGATTTGAGATAGGGTGAATTTCAGAAAAACACAACCCCTTCTGCTTCTAAAAATCACATAAGCAGAAAAAAAGTTAATACAGCACACCAAAATTAAGAAAATTAGATATTTTTATTTATAGTTTAAGCACAAGAACAATTTTCTTGTTATTCCGAAAGTAAATACATACTAGAATAGACTCTGTAGAATATACAAAAAATACATACTTTTCCCATGAAATTTTTCTTTATAATAAATAGAAGGGAACACGTGTGTGGCTGATCCTTATAATGCTCCGTGTCTGCTTAGGTTTTCAGTCTGTTGATTTATTTTTAATCTCTTGAAAGAATGGGGGAGTTCCTTTCCCCCTAAAGGGTCGAGATAAATAATGCATGAAGCAATCCTCCCTCCTGATTTTTCCCTTTTCCTCCACATTTTTCCTTTTGATGGAGAGTTCAGCCTAAATTTCCACGCTTGCATTCAATCATAACAAAGCCTACAAATTATACAATGACTTCTAACCTGGCGCTCTAACAAAACAACTTTTTCCCTCCTTATAAATCATAAGAGACAGATGGCAAAATGGAGAAGAAAAAGGAAAGAGAAGGACGGGACAATAGGCATTGTGACGAATCTGGGAAACAGAACAAAGTGCACATCAGAGAGGGAAAGTTTGGTTTGACAGGTGAAATTCCCACAGCCCGCGGAAGGCAATGGGAATAAAGCAGATGCCAGCCATTGCAAATCTGTGGATAATATTATTACCGGCAAAATCATTCAGATGCTAAAATACATTTCTTTCTACTCGACATTAACATCTCTATGTAGAAGCAAAGGTGAAGAGATCACAGGAACCAGTTGCTTTCCCCCTGGGAGATTCACACGAACTGCACCGAGTCCTGGGCAGTACAGAGTGGAGGGGGGGGGCGGGGACCGGGAGGACCCCAGCGCTCTGGGCCCGCTGTTTAGACGAGTCACCGTCTGCTCTTCCCAGCATCTGTTACAAGCTTAAAGAAGCGCGCGCGGCCCCCCACCCCCTCCCGACCTCAACTCCACCATCCTCTTTCACAAACTCCATCATCACTGCTTCAATATACCAAACCCAAGCGCACGGAGGAACCCTTAGCCAGAAATGCAGCAGCCAGGGGATTCCAAGCGGCTACTGCTCCTCTGGGACGCCAGATAGTTTCCAGGGCGTGGAAAGTGGGGGCGGGCGGGAGTGGGGAAGAGGGGCTCGGCGGGGGACGGGAAAGGTAACCCACTGAGGTGTGGGGGTGAGCGGCCGAAAGGCGGCTTAGATGCAGTCCCTGACTAAGGGGAGGTGAGGTGCGTAGCGCAGCTTGTCGGTAGGTGGGGGCTGCCAGTAGTCCATGTCTGAACCCGCCGGGCTTGCGGGCGATAAAGTGCAGCTATAGGGGGAGGTGGAGTGGGAGGACGCGGAGGAGGACGGCGCGGGGCTGTCGGTGCAGCTCCACGTGGAGGCGGGCGACGGGCTCTCTCCGCTGCTGCTCTGGGCGGCGCTCGCGCCTCCCGGGCTCAGCAGCACCGCCTCGGTGAACAGCGCCCCCGGCAGGCCGCCGCCGCCGCCGCCGCAGTGGTCAGCCAGGCGCAGGGTCTCGGTGAGCGCCCAGATGTAGTTGTGGGCGAAGCGCAGGGTCTCGATCTTGGTGAGCTTGGCGTCCTCCGGGAACGTGGGGAGCACCTCCCGCAGCGCGTCCAGGGCGGCGTTCAGGTTGTGCATGCGGTTGCGCTCGCGGTTGTTGGCCTTCAGTCTGCGCGTCTTCTTGATGCGCTGCACGGTCTCCGCCGTCTTGGCGCCGCGCGAAACGGCGCGCGCCCTAGAGGGGCGCCTCTTGCATTCGTGCACCAGCCCCAGCAGCCGCGCGGGCCGGCAGCCCTCAGCCGGCGCCCCTGAGCCGCCCCGTGAGCGCGGCCCGGCTTCGGCCCCACGCTGCCGCCGGGGCCCTCCCGACGCGCCCAGCTCCTCCTCTTCCTCCTCGTCGGCGCTGGACGACAGCGGAGTTAGGGCCGCGGAGGCCGGGGAGGCCGAGCCCAGCAGCACCAGCACTTCCTCTTCCTCCTTCAACTCCAAGGTCTCGGACTTGACGAACATCCTACGGAAAAGAACAGGTGAGGGGAAAGGACTGCACGCGGGGTGAACGCCGGAGCGGAGGCGCGCCCTTGGGGTCGCGGGGAGCCCTCCCGAGCGCACCCGAGAGGACGGGCGCGCCTGCCGAGCTCTGCAAGCGCTGGAGCGCCCCTCTGGCCGGCCCCGGTGCCAGCCCCCCACCCCCCCAGTCCCAGCCCGCGGGGTTCCCACCCAGGAGCTGCTGCGGACCCTGCAGCAAAAGCGGCGCTGTAACTTGGTCGCCGAGTGCGGACACACTCCCCCAAGTCGGGAGTCGCCGCGCGGGGACTTACTTCGTGGGCTCCCTGGCGGCGCGTGCGCGTCTGTCGCTCTCGGCTGCGGACGCGGCGACTCCCCGCAGCGGGGCGCCGCGTCGG